GTCAATCAATGAATCACAGTTTGAATCATTGCATAGTAGTTATATTAGATAATGTTTTTAATGTGTATATGTGTGGTTCTCTACTTGGTTCAGTGACAATTAATTTATATATCAATTAAACAATCTACTTAGCTACACAAACATAATTCTTTAGGTTTATATACCAACATAAACTAAATATTTTTTTTATATAGCTAAGTCTCTTAAATTGTAAATTTACTTTTTTATTATTGATGATCTGAGCTACGAGTTGATACTGTATTTGTAGTTTGTCTAAACTACTTTATGAACCAGAATTTTGAACAAGGGGAATGTGAAGTTGAACCACAGTTGTCTTAGCCAAAGAAATGTTTAGAAGTGTATAACAAATTATTTAAATGCGCTTTACTTAAAGTGTTATCCATTTTTGGTATACTTTTAAAAATTAAAAATTAAACCTACCAAAAACAATTATAATTAATTAAGCGAAAATACAACCCAATTGAAAAACTTATAGTATTAAGAAAATTAAATATTTTCTGCATGGCCCTATTATCTCACCTTATATTTTATCATATCTGTAATCAGTTCTTTATAGAATTAACAATCGCAACGCATATTCACTGATTTAATTATAAATTTTTGCGGATACTCAGCATAAAAAAAATGCAATATTTTGTTAAAAATTCCATGTGTTATCAGTCCAAAGTGCAAGAGATCAACATGTTGAGTGTCAGAAAATTTGTTTAATACGCAAAAAGCAAAGAAGAAATATGACTAAAAAAGTCAGAAACAGAAGAAACAGGAGAGTGACAAACAGCGCACAGCAGCACTTCAGAGATAAGTAGCCACTCGCACTGACTCAAAGAAAGAGAGACAGAGAACGAGATCGAGAGAGAGAGAGAGAGAGAGAGAGAGAGAGGGAGATCCACACAGACTTCAATTTATTAATTATAGTATAAATGTGTACACTTGTATAATATACAATAATAATCATAAATAAAGGGCCGCTCGCCAGCGTTGCTGGGTCAAGTTCAAGGACAAGCAGTGCGACCACAACGACGACGACGACGAGATCGCGCAATGYATATGGAAATGAATGGGAATCCGAATGTGGAGTGGGGCATGAGTTTATATGGAGTGTGTGTGTGTGAGTGCTTCCATGAATGGGTAGATTATCTGTATGTATGTGTGTATGTAGAGTCTTGTAATCGTAGATTATGTTCCGATTCGTAGTCTGAAGTAATCGCTGCTCTGATGGATTTTCGCTTTTCTTATCAACTCGTAGAGCCGCTGCCCGCGCCCTTTATAGATCATTGGGTCACATACACACACAGAAGATGGCCCTCAGCATCGATTTACCGCTTATAACTGGCACAGTATTGTTCACAGAGAAGGCTCTCCACTCTCGGTATTCTTGACTCTCCGCTCTCCGCTTTCCTCTCTCAGTGAAGCGGCTGAGCTGCGGAGGATGGCGAGATGCAATGCATCGCCCGGGTGCGACTGCAGCTGCGGCTGCGGCTGCGACAGCTTCCAGCCYACTTACACACATATGCAAGCAAGTACAATAAAACAGAGGAAGACAACAAGGCAAAATGAATTTGCAGCTCGTGTTAATCAAGCGAAACACTCACATAAACACGATGACATACGCATATAGCGCATTACGGGTACTACGACTATTTATGCTCGAGCACTCAGACAGCGTGGAGCTGATTGTGAGTAGCTGGTGCAGTGTTCCCTGCATGTCCACTATGTGGGTAAGTAAGTCCTAGAATGCATTTACAATTTCATGTTGATATATAGTTGAACTTGAAAATCAAAACGAACTTCGAGATGAGGAGATTTAATTCTCAGGCTTATATCAAGACAATATATACAGAAAAATAAAAATATATTTTGATTTAAAACATTCAACAATCTATTGGTCAGATGAATCTATTTGACTAACAGATACAAAATTTAAATATGTGTATGGAGTCTACGCTTGAACAGAAAACCAAACTCAAAATAAGAGTCTCCTATACTTACTTCCTCATTCTGAGAATCGCAAAGAAGAGCAGCTGCTATGGGCAGGGCACCAGCTGATCGTCTAAACCCTTTTACCAGCTTGAAGCTCTCTTCTTCAAATGGAGCATTCCTGCTTGTTATCAATTGTTGTTGTTATTGCATTTAAGTGCAGCTTGTTAATGCTCATTAAATGTTAAGGGAACGCTGAAGCTGTAGCTCTGTGGCTGTGGCTGTGGCTGCTGCTGGAGAGTGGAACTGGGAGTGGGACTGGAACTGGGACTGAGACTGAGACTGACACGGCAGCAAGCGGAGCTCAGGCTCCATCAAAGGCAGCTCCCCCAATTGCAATTGCTGTGTGTGCCAAGAGCTGCAGCGGCGGCCTCAGCGCAAAACCCGATCCAAGTCTTACGCTTTAGTCCATAAAATGAAGTGAGCCGAAAGTGTTGAAAAGAACTTTGTGTCTGACGGCAGCCCATTGTCATCGTCATCGTCAGCGTCATCATCGGCATCGGCGTCCTCATCAGCGTCATTATCATTTACATATTAAGAGAGCGAGAGACACAGTGTGAGACGATCGAGAATCGTTTCGGAATATTAGATGTGGTGAAGGAAAAAAGTTTTAAGCACCTCCGGAGTAAACTTGTCGTAAAATGAAAATTCAAATGAAAATCTTGAAAACTCAAACCGAAAGGCATAGAACGTTGGCGTCCTCCGCAGCGTGTGAGAAACCTGTTCGTTTGGAAAAGAGGCCTGTTGCTTGTTGTTGTTGATTGTAGTTGTTGTGTTTCACTCRTGTGTGTGTGTGTGTGAGTGTGTTTGTGTTGCGTATACAGCTAATTGAAAAAAAAGAAGTATTAACAGCATTGCCTTTTGTTTTTGCCTTTGATTGACTTGCCGACCGAGCCAAGAAGAGGAGACGAGACAAGACGAGGAAGCCAACAGCCAACAGGCAGCAGCAGCCAGCAGCCAGCAGCAGGCAGGCAGTCTGGTATGGCATAATGGCTGGTGGATTCACACAAAGGGAAGCAGCAGCCAGCAGAGTCAGTCGAGTTAATTAATAATGCAAAGCCCATGAGCTTGCATTCACTCAGTCAGCCAATCAGTCATTCATTCATGCATTCATTCATGTTGCTGCCAGATGAGACATAATCACAAGCTGAACGCATTGTTTAGCCACCAGTTGATCGACAGGATCAACAATATGATACCAGCTCAGGCATTCATGTGCAGCGTGTGAGCTACTTGGGAAGTCAATAGAGCTAAGCACGGCGGGTTCCGTGAAGCGAGCAGCTCGCTTCAGTCAATGAATGTTGGTATTCTCTAAAAAATAATATATGAATGGTAATATATTGTGGCTTACTCCAGGCTCTGCCGAACCCTAGTCGTGCTCGTGCTACTTTATGCACTAAATGAGCTCTATTAAAGTATTACTAGTTCAACAGTTTACTTGCGTATATTTATGTGAGTTGAAACACAAGTGCAACTGCAACAGCAAAAGCAACAGCAACAACAGCAACTGCAACAACAACAAGATAAACATACAACTCAAATTCGCATTAATTTAAAACTCAATCAAGACAATTAGCGCTCACTCACACTCGCTCGCTCCAGGCCCCGTCGCCCTCTGCACATATATAATTGACGTTCCAGCTCCAGCTCTAGCTCCATCAACAGCAGCAGCAGCAGCAGCAGCTCCGTCTCCTGCCGCTCGCAGCGCTCACACGCACAAATCCCAGCCAGCAGAGGCGGCAACATTGTTGTAGCTGGTTAGACATCTAGCCGGACGGACAGACGCGGCACAGCTGATTCGGCTGCCTATGCGAACCAGTTGTTTATGCAGTTGTTGCCGTCTCTATCGCTGTCGCAGTCGCAGTCACCGTCGCCGTCGCAGTCATCGTCGTAGTTGCAGTCAACCTACCTCACGCCAAGCTGCTTGCTGAGAGGCAACTCCAAGCAGCGCACGCGGCCACGAATTGAGGTAGCTGTCTCTGCCTCTGCCCTCTGCCTCTGCCGATGCCTCTGCCTGCCAATGGGTTGCATAAATGCAGCTCTCAATGTAAACATTTCAATAAGCCACTCAACAACAGCAACAAATCGCCTTGGCTTCCATTGTTTCTTAGCAAACTTTCATTGAGCTTTTATATGCAAAAAAAGAGCAACAAGAAGAAATACACACACACGCACACACACACACACACAGACAAACGGGCAGAGAGAGGAACAAACACAAACGGCAGGCGAGAAGTCAAACGACAGCGCTCCTCTTGTTGTTGTTGTCCTCTTATCAGCGGGAGAGCGCGAACTGCCGCAAAGAGAGCGAGAGCGCACGACAGTGAAAGAGAGAGAGAGAGAGAGAGAGAGAGACAAGCGAGTCTGTCAGTCTGTTAGTCTGCTGCGAGCGTGAGAGAATGAGTGTAGACAACAAGGTTCAGGCACGATGCTATCATATCATGCGGCATCGCCTGCCGGGAGACCAGACCCCACACACACACTCACACACACACACACACATGGACATACATGCCGATAGAACATTGCCTTACTCACACAAAACGGACTCGAACAGCTGGTCGGTCGGTCAATCGATCGTACGCTCGTTGATTGCACGATCAACCCGATCGATCCGAATCGCAGCCACTTGTTGCATCTGCTGCTGCTGCTGCTGCTGCCGCTCTCATTGCCGCTGCTGCTGTTGTTGTTGTATCGCACGGCTATTAAATCAGTTGGAAGAGCCGCTCGCGGCGATCGCATAGCCGAGGCGCTCAAACGATCGCACATCGTGGCCGTCGCCGTCGTAGACCGTGGACTCAACACTCATTCCCATTCATATTCAGTCAGTCTTTGACTAAGCGTCGCAGTTGTCATCGCAGCGGGCACTGTGGTTACGGCTACTGTTTCGGACTCTGAATCGGATTCTGATTTAACTCTGTGCTGTTCTGTTCTCGTCTGTTTAGCTGATTCCTTCGGTATCGGGTCGGGTCTCGGGCAACGCAAGCTCACGCGTCTATATATATGTATATCCAAATATTTCTATCGAACGGATACGGATGCAGTTTTGATTACACACAAGCGCACACACGCACACACACGCACACACAACGCACAACAATAGGCAGTCAGCAATTACGAATCTCCAGTACGAGTGCAAAAGTGCAATGTCTGGGTGTGATTAAAAAATCAAGTTGAGCATATTCTATTGTTTTCGGAACCATGACGAGAACAACACTACCAACAACAACTACTGCGGAACGGAGCTTCTGATTTTGATTAGAAAGGCAGCCAGAGAAGGAGACAGAGAGAGAGAGAGAGAGAGAGAACGAGAGTGAGAGAGAGGGAACGAAAATATGCAGCAATAAAGAGCTTTAAATATCAACAAAAATATATTATCAATGTGCAATATAGCTAAAATATTTATAAAATATTCTAGAAGAAAGAAAATACCAATTAGTTCTATCTATATATTATAATTGAAAACCAATTCAAATGCCGGTTAGTGATAATAGTCTTACTTATACATATACATACAACCAAACATAAATACCATACATGTGTTATGCAGTGCAATATGTTCGCCCATAAATAAATTCAGTTAACTTAGTGGAGCAAAGAAATGCCTAAAATGCTAACTAAAACTCTATTAACAACAACGAAACGGATCTGCTTTTGGATTTAAAAGTAATACAAACATAAGGTAATAGTGAAATATATACAACGAAATAAATATGAATGTATAAAAATTTGAACCAACAGTGAAAGGGTGTGCCTAAATAAATGTAGTTCTTAAAATGTAAATTTAAAATAATTAAAAAAAAAAAAAAAGAATAATGTTTTAATAAGAGAATTGAATATTCTTATTAGGGGTTTTTGCTCCACTTTGCCTAGATCAAATGGGTCAAGGTCGAGTTTTGTATAGGATATAAAATATATGTAATTCATATTTAAAATATAAGAGCCAGCAATATAAACGATTTTAGCGTTGCTTTAGTTGGATAAACAGGCCCACGTTTTTTCCAAGTGTAAAAAATGTTTCACAATTCGCAGTTAATCAAAATAAATGTTTTATTAAACATACGTCACATACAAATGAAATCAGCAAACATAAAAATAATATTACACTACATGCATTTATATACTATATATATTTATATAAATATTTATATTACTTTGGCAAACATTAAACAATAATTAGCTTCTCGTAGGTCTGGGCTGGGGGAGCTCCGGTTGCATCTGATTTGTTGTTGATTTATTAATGAATTACTCATTAATATTTAGCAGACAGTTGCAGGCAGATTTTGTATAGCAATAATTCGCCTTTGTTATCAAATAACATTTATGTACATATATATGTGCATACTATACGCGGCTCAAGTTCATTATCATCATTAAAAAAGAATTGTGCAATTGATATTTGCCTTTTGTTATTAGCCTGATTTGTAATAAACACAAAAACAATCATTTTACATTTTACATTTTRAAAGTGATTGCCAGTCACTCCTCTTTTTGTATGTTTAAAGATTTTGTTTGTTTATTTCTTTCTTTCATTTTGATCATTTGTTTCAAATAACGTGCATTGACCGACACTTCTCAGGGCAATGATATATATGGGTTTTTTACTTTGATCTGGAATGTAATTTTTGAGTATAAATTATGGGCTGTAAACACGCATTCCAAATTTTTAATGAAGTTGAATTTAAAATGTGCAACTCGATTTGCTTTGATTATATATGTAGAACTATTCAAACGGAGCTAATAATATTTATTATATTACGATTATGATCAGGGAAAGCCTAAATGACATAAGTCCCATTCATTGAATTCGACTCAATGTTTTGCTGAACTTTCTAGATATTGCACGTTCGGTGTTATTTTAAGAATTTTGAGGTGTGCCTTTTGGGGCTCTCTTTTGCTTGATTTCTAACGATTCTTCAGGTATTGAATAATTCACCAGAGCCAACGGCAAAAGCAACAACAACAACAATAACAACATGAAAGCCCAAAGCTAGTTTGTTCGAGGCCTTAGCGCTTCTGCAATAATCTAATGCGAAATTTCTCTATTTCTCTCTATTACGATTCAAAGCCACGGTAAGGTGGCGACAAGGCGGGCAGGTGTACAGGTGGGCAGGTGAGTTTGGTTTGGTTAAGCAGGTAGGTGGAGGTTGTCTACAGACTCCTCTATTCAGCTGTTCAGCTGTTCAGTTGTTTTCATGCGCGTCGTTGGCCGTACATTGAACTTGGCCAAACGTCGGACAGGGCTTAGCTAATGGGTTGCGGCCTCTATCTCCTACTCTTTCTCCCTCCTTCCCTCTCACTCCCTCTCTCTCTCTCTGTCTTTCTCTACTGCTGTCTCTTTCTAGCACCGTCAGCTGACAAATGCTATGCGCGAAAAATTGTTAGCTGGCTGGGGCTGCTGCTGCCGCTGGCTTGCCTGTTGGCTGTTTGCCTGTTTGTCGCTTGGGGCTTGGGGCTTGAGACTTGGCCATGACCATGAACGAACCATCGGATCGTTTGGGTTCCGTTGCGTGTGCAATGTTATATGGTCGGTCGGCAGTGACATAATCTGCTGATGTTGAGCGTTCTACGCTTTGAGCTGAGGTTTCTTCTTCTGTAACTGCGCAGCGGATCGCATGGCTTTTTATTCTCTTTTATATATAATTTTATATAGACTGATATATATAACTTTATTTTTGGTTCGTTTGATTTGCATAAATTGTGAAAAATGTGCCAATAAAAAGAATTGAAAAATAGCCAAGAATATGATCAAAACTTTATGTAAATTCTGATGAAAACACAAAAACTTGTTTATTTCGCAAAATAAACAGCGACAAAATATCGGCTAATTGGTAGAACACTTTTTTTCAATTTGAGTTGATTTCTTTTTTTTTTTTTAACTGCTTTTTTTGTGCCACATTTTAGCTACGTTTGCAGGTCGCCTTGTATAAGTACGAGTTTTATATTTATCATTTATTTTTTACTTTACTAAGTAACTAAGCAAACGCTGAATAATTTTATGTAGGTGTCAACATTAATTTGCGGTTGCACTTGGACTTGGACAGCCAGACGCCGCAGGAATCAGTTCAATGCAAACTAATTTGCTGAATTTGTCGAAATTATTTACATTTTTATATTGCATTTGTATGTTTTTTCTTTTTGTGTGTGTTTGTTGTACTTTTTGTTTTTGGGAAAGCATTCATCGAAAGCTGTAAGGTAATACCAAGGAAAAAATACAACTGAAGAAAGCTGAAAAATGATCATCAAATTAAGCTAAGGAATGCCACAGCTCGCGTGGAGCTCTGAGACGGGCGTGCGACCCATACAGTGGGCTGGAAGACAAACAAAAATGCTTGAAAATTTGGCAAGCAATTAGAACTTGTCACAGTGGTGCCGAAATCATTTGCTTGACTTTGAATAGGTATTTTCAGAAATATTCAATATAACTCAGTTCAGTTAACTTGAGATAATTTAAAAATTTTAAAATTTATTTATTTTGTCAAAGTTTTTGTTTTGTTACATCTTTAAAAATAATTTTAGTTATTTTATTAACTTTTCAATGCATTTATTATATTCTAGGCTATTTTCTTCTTTTTCCTTTCTTTTCTTTTTCAAATTTCCTTACAGTTCTGATTTTAATAAAAACAATTTATAATATTTACACACACTTCTTTTTACAATAATGTCTTTAAGGTATTTTAGATATTTTCGAAATTTGATTCACAATTTTGAAGGCATTCCCAACGGAAGTACTTTACAGCTTTGATTTAATATTGATCGCATATACAATAATTATCTTGTGTGCTCTCGAATGTATGTTTGAGAATGATTAATTGGTCATAAACAGAAAGTACCTGGCCCACTGATGTTTGCCCAGCACACACACGGACACACACAAATATATGCTATATCAAATAAAACACACGATATATTTGCGAAGAAATTAAGATAAAGAACACTTCAAACTAGACTTAGAGATATACTTTTGGGGTAGCTACGTGACTTTGGGCAATTCCCTAATGTCGCCAACTCGCTTTCAACCAGAGGCTCTCTCTGGAGTCGAAGTCAATTCAATTCAATCGACTTTGTAGATTCTTGTGGTTTGCGAAAAGTGGAAACACAAGAAATAGAAATCATCAGCCCGTTCAGCACTTCCTTCTTTGCTGTTAATCACTTCCTCATCTGTGGGGCGACGCGTGCGCCGTTCTAAGCGCTTCTCACTTTTCCAAGCAGCTAGCATTAATAGTTGTAGTAGTAGTCGTAGTAGTGTAGTCGTAGTAGATGAACAAAAAACTCGCTTTTTAATAAGAATTCTTGCGAATTCTTCTGAGCACAGATCTCGTCTCGTCGACTGGCGGCCCCATGATTAATATGCAGATACATAGATAGATCGAGTCGAGTCTCAATCGAACGGGGGAATGTCTTCGCGTGTTGGCTGTCGTCGTTAGAGCCGCGTTAGAAGCCCCCGTTCCACGAGTCGGCTCTTAAAACCGGCTCAGAAACAACATAGCCAACAGGCAGGCAACAAGCCAACAACACAACAAGACAACCAGAGAAGAAAGCATCGAGCGGCTAGAATGCGACATTAGAAAGCATATTATGTAATTTATTATGTAAGCCGAGACGATGGGAAAGTTTTTGTTCCTTACTCTCAGTTCTTCCACCTCTGTCTCCTACGTTGTCTCATTCGAATTCGAATTTCACGATTTCTATCAAGTATTTCTCTACACCAACAACACCACTCAATAGTCCAATGCGCAAATAAAACTTGGACTCTTTTTTCGGCTTTTGTTTACGCCAGCTTAGAGCAATGACGCCTTAATTATATAAACCACAAATATACAGTCATATGTATGAATATGTGTGGATATATAGATATGTATGTACATTTGCCTATTTCGCAGTTAAAGAATAATTCAAGAACGTGATAAGCCACATTAATAATTTCGCTTGTAGAGAAACAGTTGATGGAGTAAATTGCAATTATAATTWTATGTATTTTGTGATATTTATAATATTGAGAATATGTTAATTAATTTAATATATTTTTGGCACACGAAATAAATACAGACAAAAATAAATTATTTATAATATATACATACTTATAATCTATTTATACCGAAAATACCTGAATTTCAATGTATTTTTGTATGCTGAATATAACAATAGATATTTATATTCAAATTTTGATACGTCTTTTATATTAGGTTGTTATCTATCAATTTGTTGAATAGGATAATTTCGGGTGTGATAAATGGATTTCTGCTTTGACCTAAAAGTATGGCAATTGGGTTAGGATCGAAACACATTCATAATAATCCCGTTCCGACACCCTCAACTTTTAAAGATGCTCAAACAGATCTAACCCAATTCAGTTGAGGACCTAGTCCTTATAAATACAATATATGAATTATTTAATTTACATATGTCATATATTTCGAAATCGAATCTTTCAGATATGAGATATGAGATATGATAAGCACATACAAATTACATAAATTACACCAGCTATAGCCACAGCAAATATAGTCAAAAGGCAATTCATTAATCAATTCAAGTTTCGCTTTTGCATGAACGAGTATTATGCAGTCAGTTGCGATTGAGCTCAACGTTCTTATCTGATTTTGTATTTATTTTTTGCTCTATTGCCCAAATTTTCCTTTTGCAAGTCATAATGTCTTAGTTTTTTCATTTCATTTAACCTTGAACTGTGCCGTGGCTGCGTTTATCTTATCAGAGCGACGCAACAAAAGAATTAAGCTCTAGACTTTTCTTATCTGAAACACCCGAAACACAATGCAAAATCAATGATTGGCGAATCTAGCTGCCAATTTCTAAGTAAAGCAACATTTGAGTTAAGGCCAGGGACCGGTTTGCTCTGGGTGCTGTACATGAAGTCAATTAACAGGCGATCAGCTCGAGCGTGTGACAAAATTTGCATAAGATATATAAAGTATACACAGATGTGTATGAAAATTTGAATGCGATAAGTAAACCCTAACCCCCGTCTGCAACTCCCCTCTCTGCAGCGTCCAATGGTAATGGCCGTGATACTGTTGCTCGCCCTGGCACTCGTACTCGGTTGCTATTGCGCGATCCATAGGCAAAAGATCAGTGCGATTTATCTGAAGCCGCTGCTGAAGAACACGCCCTTCGAGGACTGCTACCATGCGACGCCCATCGAGCAGCGGAAGCGGCGTAGCATTTGGGATATACCTGGGCCGCAGCGTATTCCCTTCCTGGGCACCAAGTGGATATTTCTCGTATTCTTCCGGCGCTACAAAATGACGAAGCTGCACGAGGTCTACGCAGGTGAGAGATGCCCACAGCGCAATTTACAGCACTTGCCAACAGACTCTATTCCCTTCTCTCTCTCTCTCTCTCTCTCTGCCTCTCTCTCATTCGCACAGATCTGAACCGTCAGTATGGCGATATTGTGCTCGAGGTGATGCCCTCGAACGTGCCCATCGTGCATCTGTATAATCGCGAGGATCTGGACAAGGTGCTCAAGTACCCGAGCAAATATCCCTTTCGTCCGCCCACCGAAATCATCGTGATGTATCGGCAGTCGCGGCCCGATCGCTATGCGAGCGTGGGCATTGTGAACGAGCAGGGCCCGATGTGGCATCGGCTGCGCTCCTCCCTCACCTCCAGCATCACTTCGCCGCGCATCCTGCAGAACTTTCTGCCCGCTCTGAACGCCGTCTGTGATGATTTCGTGGAGCTGCTGCGCGCCAAGCGTGATCCCCAGACTCAGATCGTGGCCAACTTCGAGGAGCTGGCGAACCTGATGGGCCTGGAGGCCGTCTGCACGCTAATGCTGGGCAGGAGAATGGGTTTCCTGAGCGTCAATACCAAGCAGCCGGAGAAGATCAGCCAACTAGCGGCGGCCGTCAAGCAGCTATTCATCTCCCAGCGCGACTCGTATTATGGCCTGGGCCTCTGGAAATACTTTCCCACGAAGACCTATCGGGAGTTCGCGCGCGCCGAAGACTTGATCTATGAGTAGGTATAAGGATACGACGTGCGGCAGCTCGCCTAGCAGCCATGACTAATGCATACTTACAGTGTCATCTCGGAGATCATCGACAACGAGCTGGAGGAGCACAAGAAATCGGCGGCCTGCGAGGATGAAGACGCTGCCGGCCTGCGCAGCGTATTCCTTAATATACTCGAGCTGAAGGAGCTGGACATTCGGGACAAGAAGTCGGCCATAATTGACTTTATAGCCGCGGGCATTGAAACGGTAAGAGTGCTGAGGGGAGAAGTGAAGAGAATGGCGAAGTGATGATGGTGAAGTGATAATAATGATATTGACAGTTGAGAAGGAATTGAGAATTGGGAATTATGAATTGAAATTAAAACTTAGAAATTAGAATTGAGAGAGAATTGGGAATCAAGAATTTATAGTTGAGAATTGAGAACTGAGACTTAATTGCAATTCGTTTGTCTCTCTTTCTAGCTAGCCAACACCCTCCTTTTCGTGCTCAGTTCCGTGACTGGAGAGGAATCGGCTATACCGCGTATATACGAAGAGTTTCGTGAGTATCGTGACACGAACATTCTGCAGGACGCGCTGACGAATGCCACATACACGAAGGCCTGCATTCAGGAATCCTACAGACTGAGACCCACCGCCTTCTGCCTGGCACGCATTCTCGAAGAGGACATGGAGCTCTCCGGCTACTCCTTGAATGCGGGCGTGAGTACTCAACGCCCATACAGAAGCCGTATGCAAATCGTAGTCTCTAAAAACAGGTCTTTCTTAACACTAATTTCGTCTAGACGGTGGTGCTGTGCCAGAACATGATCGCCTGCCACAAGGACTCCAACTTCCAGGAGGCCAAGCAGTTCTGCCCCGAGCGCTGGATTGACGCCAGCTCCGGCAACTTCACTGTGAACGTGGACAGTGCCAGCATTGTGGTGCCCTTCGGTGTGGGTCGACGCACGTGTCCCGGCAAGCGATTCGTCGAAATGGAGGTGGTGCTGCTGCTGGCCAAGGTTAGCTTGCGCATATTATTTGCCGATATATATCGTATAGTCATGATTCTTCCATCTCCAGCTCGTGTTGGCCTTCGATGTGAGCTTCGTGAAGCCGCTGGAAACGGAATTCGAATTCCTTCTGGCACCCAAAACGCCGCTGAGCCTGAGGCTGCGCGATCGCGAGTTATGAAACCCACTGATCAGAGGCGTTTATGTTGCAAGTAAACCCCGAAGGTAGGAACTGATATGGCGCTTGTAAATTGGAGCTTAAGAGTTTTCAGAAAACTTTCCTTAAAACCAAAAATTTAACAATGGATCGATTGCAGTCGTACCCTTACAGCGAATTAAATATTCATCGTGCAAATTGCGTAAGGCGTAACATATCACCTAGCTTCTGTCAGGCATTTGCATTTAACATTTCAGCCGCAAAGTATGCTTTAATTTTTTCCAATATGCGAGCGACATTCGTATATGAAACAAGTATAAAATAGAAAGATATATCTAGTGTATAACCCAGATATCTGACAAACAACACACCAAACTGTACATAGAAAAAAGGTCTAGAAAGTAGAGTCCATTTAATAAATATATATATATGAATAAATATCAGTTACTCAAGTCGTAGCTGTTTCATATACGTTCCATTTTGTTGTTTTAGCTAGTTATTGTTTCTCTTAAGTAGCGGCAATTATTTTTGTGGCCTGTAAACGGAAAGACTGTATTTAAGTTTTGTTGTTTCAATATTGAGGTGGCACCTTATGTAGTAATATGTATGTATAATAATTAACTATAAAAACAACAACAACAACAAACACTAACAACTAATTCATAATGCTCTGTACAGTTAACAAACATGTATTTATTCAAGTTTTCTATTTCTTAGTTTTCTAGCTGTGTATATTTTTTGTTAAATCATAAAAGAAAGACAAGAGTTAAAAACAATTATGAAAAAATAAAGTTAAGACTTTTAACTGTGTTTATAATTCTACTGCCGTTTTGTTCATGGGATTTTAAAAATTACCTTTGCAGCAAATAAGGGAAATATAGCTTAATTGAAATCAAAGATCTTTGGTTAATTGAAAATGTTCTTTACGATTGATATGTATAAGCTGAAGTAGCTTAGGTGTCAGAATGCCTGGTTGGTGACCTGACTAACTTGGCATATCTATCTTATAATTCAAGTAGGCAATGGGATATTTAAAATTTCCTCTATAGTTGATATGGACAATATAAGCTAATGGAATTGATCTCGTCAGCAAAGTTAGCAACCGTAGTTAATGTAGACATATAAATGGCGTTTAATTTGGTTTTTACACTGGTGGCCAGTTCGAGGTACATGTTAGTCAGGACTTGCATGAATCGGTCAGCTTAATACTGCTAAAGACAAACAACGTATTCAATGAATTTCATTTAATTGAGATTTTTTAATGAGATTTACATATTTGTCAGTGATGGCAGTTTTTATTCCTTTAGCTTAATAAACTCGGTTTGGTTTGTATCTCGGCTAACTTGGCGTTTCTGTTATTGCACTTATATACTAAAATATGTATGGGATATTTGAAATTTCCTTTGCAGTGGATATAAAGTCCAATTTAAGCAGAGCAAGAACAGTGCTATCTCATATATTAGACAGGGTGTGTTTTGGCTCGAAACTCGGCTAACATTCTAGCTGGCCATTTTAACAGTTTTTCTTTTAAATTGCTATATCAACCTAAACACAAAGAGAACTTTTAAATCCAATTTGAAATGATGTTAACTAAAAATTTGCAGTTACTAACAATAGTTGCTATAAAGTATTTTATAGTTAAATTTTCTAATTTGAGTAGCAATTAACACTTTTGTTAGCTTTGAAGTTTCCAAACATGTTTTAAGCGCTCGTTCTCTTAGCGTGTTCAATTATGCTCGCGCTGCGTGTGCGTTTGTGTGTGTGTGGCTCTCCCGCTCTCTCGCTGTCTGTGTAGTTTTAGTCTTTCTCTCTCTCTCTCTCTCTCTGTGCCTATGGGGCTGGGGCTCGGGCCTGAACGGTTTGGGCTATACGTAAGCTACAACAGTTGACGTTGTCGTGTCGTCGGTTTCAGTTTCAAACTTTCCCGATTCCGATTGAGCGGATTAAAAAAGAAAAACGAATTGAAATAGAAAATATATGTGTGTGAACCTACACATACAGACACAAATCGAATTGCGCGCTTCAAGTTCTGACTGTATCTGTGTGTGTGTTTAGTGCTTGGCTCACTGCAAACGTGTGTTAGTTTTTGGCTAACAGCATCAACAACAGAATTTGCTGCACTTTTTTGCACCTCTAATAAGTATTACCCATGTACGCAACTGTATATATCTAATATGTTGTAATACCCACACACACACTCACACACACCCAGTTGAATTAAAAACCTGTTTCTGAAAGACTGAAAAACATTTGTAAACATGTAAAAATAGTTAAAACTAACTTTATGCCAACACGCAAAAGTGCATCAAATGCTATCAAAGCGAGTCCGAGACGGAGTTTGACTCTGACTCTGAGTCGGAGTCGAAGTCGGAGTCGAAGTCAAAGTCGGAGACAGTTTCAGAGAGTCGCAGATCGTTGCTCTCATCTCTCAACTCATCTATAAGATCTGATGCTCTCGCTGTGCCCCACCCGAAAACTAATTGTTATTGTAGTACAGTAAACAACAAATAACCACCAGAACAACAACAACAGCAACAGCAGCAACAATAAGGGCGTGACAAATAGTTGTTGTTGTTGTAGTTGTTCGACTTGTGCTAATTGTGCATAATTTGAACTGGCTAACAAACTGTTTGTCCTATGATTCACGTAAACTAATATTGGGCGTGTTCCGAATGCGCATTACAAGCTTCGTTTGAGAACAGCTTAAGTTGGCAAATATTAAAAAAAAAAAATGTGTATCTATATATAAATATATGGAGATATACGTGCTACCGTTAGTACAGTTGTTAGAGCTATTTGTTGCCACAGTGGGTTAGGCAACTGAATAGTTTGTCTTTGCACTACTCTGTCGATAATTCTTTACAGGGAATATTAGTTTTGTGAATGCCTATATAGAAGTTGACTTTAAAAATATATGTAGCTTTGCATTGACTTCTATATCTCTATAGACTCAATATTAATATTCATATACATTGAATTTGAAATGGCAGAGAAATAAACTTGTTACGTGTTTAATGGGTTCGTGAGTGGTATATCAAGATTTAAATTTAACGATCTTCAAAAAGATATTCAATTCAGCAGGGAACTGATACATATATCAAATAATGTTTAAATATCAAAACAACAATGGACAATGCATACGAGTCAGATTATTATATGCTAATGAGGGAATCCAAATGTATGAATCATTTAAGAATTAAGCTAGAGATTACTTCAGATATTCGTATATCGATTGTATTCTAATCTCTCTGAAATATATTGAATGGACTTTTCTCCTCAGCTTATATATCATTCATTTTATAATATAGTTCGCTGTATAGCCAAACATTTATCTCTGTCAACATATCTTTAGTAAACTTTTAGGTTTATCTAATACACATTAATAGTATAAGTATTCTCTATAGTATATTCGCTGTAGTATTTTCTCTATGGTATATACTCTGTACGTTAAATGGAGCTGTACCTATGGAGTCAACTTTCATACCAATGCATACTAAACTTAGTAGGGTCTTACGCTATTATTTTTGAATATTACTCTATTCTAAATTATTCATCTATATTCAATTTTATTCTATTTTAACTTAAAAATGCTCACCTAGTTATTGTTGTCAGGATTATTGTATATTAAATCAATAGTTTATACCTTAATACATAATATAAATTAAGATTTCACACTTTGAGCTGTGGGCGGGTATCATGCAGCTGGTTGCAGCCACTCTTAGCATTTGATTGTTAACAACATTTAACTCGGCTCGTTAGTTACTGCCTTTTTGGTGTAGCCATTAACTGTTTGCAGTAGTATTTGTGAAACTAAGGGAATAAACACAATTTAACACTCGCTGACACTGACCTTCCTTTGGCTGTGTCATTGAATTCGCCAATTGGGCTGCCTAGGCAACCGACAACAACTCAACACAACTGTCGACAGAGCCAACAACTACAGCCACAACAACAACAACAGCAAATTGCATGACCAGGCCCAAACCCCATTACAATTGCTAACGTGTGGGAGTCACGGGCTAAAGCCGAAATGGCGCCTCAGACTTGGACTGAGGAATGAGGTCAACAAATCGCAAACTCAGTTTACAGTGCTCGCCCTTTGGCGACAGCAATAACAACAACAGCCTGGTTAGGTACAGTAGGCGCCAATGTAATACGCCCCTTGAGAGCGAGACAGAGAGACCCAGCGCAGGAGAGAGAGTGAGAAAGGGAGAGAGAGCGAGTCAGTTGGAAATGCATTCAAGTGGCAGAGGGAGGCAGGTTGGGGGTGTAACGCGTTCGAAACTTGCATGAAAAACCAGTTTCTGTGACGATTTGTCAATGCGCCTGAGGAGCATTTGATGCGCATTTGAAAGTGAACCAAAAATATGGCGATTCTTATAGCGGAAGTGTTCGGCGATCCAGATGAAACTGAAACAGCTCAAGAAGGGCTTAGCAAAACAAAACACATAACAACAACAACAACAGCAACAACAACAGCAACAACAACAGCAACAACAACAACCACAACAACTGCAACATTGCTGGCAAGTCGATGACCCAATCCACGCAGAGAGCCAGGCCAGACCAGTTAGAGGGCTGCCCGCCAAGCCAACGGAAAGCGAAACGAGGTTAAGGCACAGTGCCGGTCAGAATATTGGACACACACACATATAGAGAGAGCGCGAGCGAGAGGAAGTTGAGAGAGCGCCAGCTCAGCTTTGTGGTTGCGCGAGCGCAAAACAGGTGTGGCTGCCTCACTCACTGGTGCGCTCTCTCTCTCTCTCTCTCACTCTATGTCTCTCTCCCTTTCTCTGTGTCCGTCTGTCCCTCTGCCGCTCGAAAAAAACCCGTTAAACTGGTCAAGCGATTTGTTTACATTATTCAGCGTTTGTTTTGTTTGTTGTTCTGTTTGTTTTCTTTTTTAAAGCTTTCTTCTAAATTGTTTTGGTTGTTTTTTGTTTGGCTTGGCAAAAAAAAAAAAAAAAAAAAAAAAAAAAAAAAAAAAAAAAACGTGAGAAGTTTGTTAGCATCAACACGAAAAGTGTTGTCGTGTCATTTCCTCAATTGCTTGGCATTACGGCAATTATTCCGTCTCGGGATCTGCTACCAAAAATTACTAAGCCAAAGTTCCTAATGCATGAATCATGCTGAAATGACATAATAATGTTGCGAGGCAAAATAGATACTTAGGGGGTGAATTACAAGATAATTTATAGAATAATTTATTAAGGAAATTGAAAAAATAAAAGAATATTAGATATTCATTGGAACGTTAAAATACAAATGATTTATAATAAATTCAAAAATGATTTATTCATTAGGAAATTTAAAAAAATAGACAAATAGACAAACAAATGTTTTAAAGAATATTAGAATATTATTAAAAAAAANTATAAGGAAATTTCAATATAATTTTTATATAACTATAGAATATTTACAGAATAATATAGTAGACAAAGAAGGCTCTCAGGCATTAAAATTATATAGGCTCAGCTCGTTACTTTCAATAACAGATTATGTATATATCCCCGCATTATAGGGTATCATGTGGTCAGCATTTCGGTTACTTAAGCAAAATTACTTATTGATGACTCTTTGACAACACGCAACGTTAATTTCCCTCCTCAGAAATATCGAGCCTAGACACTAGACCATTTGTTAGTATTTCAAATTAGTGTTAACTAACAAACAATCACACACTTAACGCCCACTCATTACCTCTCCCTCTCTCTGTCTCTCTCCCTCGCTCTCCTACACACGTCTACGAGCGAAAGTTTTTCCCAACATTATTTGAATTGGGTTTTTCGGCTTCTGGTTTCCCGTCTGCATTTCAATAGCTTTGCGCATAGTTGGGAGTGGGTGAAGCGGGTCAGCTTTGTCTGTAATTCTGCCGTCTGGGCCTCGCTTATGGTATTTTTTATTGTACGTGACTTTTGCCAATGCAATTAGTCTTAATCAATGAGGCATGAATGAATGCCCCGGATAACTCAACCATGCAGTAAAATATTCCCCATGAACACCAACCACAACACAAGCAGAAGTGTTGGCCCCACCGAGTGCCGCATTGTTGGCTGAACAGTAATTGTTGACACATCAACAAACAAGAACTGTTGGGCAGCTACTCGAAATGATATGTATTTAAGTGTTGCCCTGGCTGTTTGCTCGACTGACTGACTGACTGACTGATGAATAATATATTTCCCAAATCATTTGATTAAGAAATTAAGACATTTGTGCACTAGTTGCAGTATAGACTTCCGTGGGTTTTATTTGTTTCGTATTCTCATTTATGACGTAAGGAATTCCGAAGAATTTAGCTAAAATTCTTGGAAATTCCATCTGCACTCTGCTGTCTGCATACTATATGTATCTATATACCAATCATATCAGATTTATACATAATATTATATCTTAGATTTACTAAAACAATCTACAGTAGATGCATACCAGAAATGGAAAATCTATTATTCTATTCATTTATTCTATTCATTTCATTAAATTATTCTTTTTATTTAATAGACACTTATATGTAGAAAACATGTCGCTTAACCTATTTTGATCACTCAACCCAATTTGTTGATCGCCCACAGTTAAAAACAAGTGGAGGACCACTTTTCCAGCTTTACCTTTTTCATTGATGCATTTTTGTAATTCAATTTGAAATACTTAAAAAAATGCTTAAAACTTGATAATGCCTTTATGGTAAATGCATTGCTCCCCACGATAAAATCCCAATGCCAATCTGAGATCGATTGACGTTGACCTATTGCGACGCCCTATGCGAACTGAATTGATTGACCAAAATTGATTCAACTGCAAAATTTAATTACCTTCAAATTATATCATAAATTATATACAATAAACGAACGAGTTTTCAAAGTAGTATTTGTAATAGTACCTAGAAAACAATCATATTGGGAGAGCTTAATATTATATAAGCATATTATATTTAGGCACGAGCATAGACCTAACTAGCGCTGTCAGCTTAAGCCACAAATTAAGTTCCGATTTGGCACTAACAATGGACTCCAGTTAGTCTAAGCAATTTAAACGAAAGAGCATATATTCCCCATTTCAGATATTTTGCTGTAAATGGAAAATGTGAAGCCAACGACAGTTTTTAAGGCAGTTTGTCTTAGTATTGGAGATTGTACCTAGAATAACTTATAACAGAGTGGGACTTAATGTGAAATTTACGTATTCCACAATATTCAATTGACAATGCACATAGCTGCAACTGTTGACTCACCTGGTCATAGCTCATTTGTACTGCTGAAATCGTTAGGAGCTGCACCCACCCAGACATCCAGAGAGATGACATCATTTTAGGTTCCCCTTAGAAGGCCCTTAGAGATTTCGTGTACAGACAATCAATTAGAGCCCATTTTGGAAGTAATGTGAGAGAGACCTTCCCCACAGCGATTGACACGAATTCCCAGCACTTTTTTTTTTTTTTTTTTTGAGGCATTTAACACGCTCCACTGCGCACTCGAGTTAATAATAAAAAGAATAACAAATAACTCTGAGCCCAATAAGGCAATTCCGTCTTAACATCCATAGATACCGAAGAAGAACTTTAAATGCTTCATTGTAGGCAGTTCGTAAAATAAATAAATAAATACGACAGTAAAGAGAAGAGGAAGAAGATGAGTTACTTGCGATCCATAGGTACTTTTCATACTCTGCAAACGGAGCACTTAGCTCGACTGCTCCAAGCGAATTTCAATTAGAGATCATTCACTTTAATTAACTAATTGACTAATTGCATCACACAGAAATCTCACGGGTCGAAATGTCGCCGGCAGATGACAATTCCTTTGCCACAACAAGTGGCAACAAGAAGGCAACCTACACTCTCATCACCATCAAAGTTGTTGAGCTGGTAAGTAATACATTTTAGATGCATATAGAAATCTATAAATCTTTCTTTTATATATATATTTTTTTTATTAACAGAACCGTAAAAATGACATTATTTTATGATATAAGTGATTCTAGGTGCCTTATCGCTCAATTCTGAACAAGTCGTTTAAAATAATAGTATTCAGATATCAAGTCCGTGTATTTCTGTCGTCTATCCTATTGATTTTGCATAACGATCGGTTTTATAGTTCAGCCCTGATCCGATTGATTAAATAGGCATGCACGGTATATTGATTTTGCGTGAATGAAACGAATGTAGGTATATACTATTATAGTATCCGATGGAAATTTCATTGATATTTTGGAGAGAAAGGAAAGAGAAAAAATATGTTGTTTCCTGAGAATAAGGCATAGTAGGGCAACTTTTGAGTGGTTTCTAGCAAAGATTGTATACAAATATATGGTATTATAGTATAGTAGTTGAGAATAGTGAATTATCATTATCTTTAATAGCTCATCCCATTTCCTATGTTTAGAATCTCTGAAATAGACCCTCTACATAAAGTGCTAATATTGTAGTCAGACTCCCCCAACAAGAGCACTCTATTTCCTCTTTAAAACATTATTTCACAGCTTAACTCTATACAATTTATGAATTTTCCATTTGAATTATTTCGCCAGTGTCTGCTGATATGCTGTCTGGGACTGATTGACGAGCCGGCCACCAATTCGCACCTGCGCGTCTTCATCACTCCCAGGGTAATGGCACTATGTTATGTGACCTTTGGCGCGTTGACCATTTACACGGCAATCTACTTGATAATGGCTCTATTTGGAGACCTGTAAGTAACATCTATATATGCATGTGGTCTAATATATTTATAATTTAATTGTGCCTCGTAGCACGCCTTGGCGCACTGCGACGCTGTGGTCCCTGGCGGGCTTTATCCTGTATATAGCTGTGACGGCGCTGCTGTTCCGTGACTGGAGCAACACCAAGGACCGCAACTACTGGCACCCCAACATGCATCGGCTGGATCTGGTAATGGCGTCCGCTTCCATTTCGCTGGTCACCGGCCTGATCTATTTGCTGGATGTGCTACTCACCATTCGCTTTGGCGTGCACGGAGATCTGGAATGACATCGCATTCGCTGACTCTTCCAGACGCTGGCCCAGCTGGACTGTAATATTTACAGAGCTTAGTCTTAAGCGGTGTCCCCACTCCCTGCTAATTGTTCAGAATGTCTGTACCATACACATCATAATTGCCATCAATTGAAAGAAAATGTACAAACAACCCAAGTGTAGGGAATTTTTTGAGAAATGTTAAAGTGTCGCTTACAGCCCCTAGAATACGAATCACAAAACGTTTTTTTCTAATCTATCTAACATAAGTTTTACACTGAATATTTTTGTAACAAAAGAAAAATAAATTTTGAAAAAATACTTATAATGACAAAATGAATCTTCCCTTCATTGAATATTAAGTTACAACGATGTTGATTATATAAATATATTTTTTTCATGTGGCGTAAAAGTTTTGCTTTTAAATAACACGTTTTAGGGGTTAGGTGGTTACTACTTATACAACGCAAATTATTGTTAAGGTCTAATTGAACAATTATTAAAAAAAAATTCAAATTTACATTTCTGTTTCAGGTATTTCAACAAGGACATTTTAATTGAATCTGCTGTATTTACTGTAGGATCTTATAACCGATCATATTAATCCAAACTTGGCTTCCAAGCGATATCTGTATCTTTTGCAACTATAATTTTGTAAGCAGTTTTTCGTTTAGGTTTAAAGTGATATCAATATTTACAGTAGGTTCAACGACAAACAACAAAAAACAGTTATGACAACTGTTAACATATTAATAAAGTTTCGAGCAGATGTCAGACATTGGCAAAAAGCAATGTGAGAATTAAACTTTTTCTCATTTTATAGAAATTGTAAAGTATTTCTCAATGTCCTGGTCATTCTCGATCATTTTGAGGCTGTGAAACGTTTCCTTGATGTAGCACTTGCACACATCGCCGTTGCCTAAAAGCAAAGAGATGAAAACTAGAAACAGACCCAAAATTTCTTTGATTGTATAGCTTACCCAGGCTGCCGTCGCATATGCGTTGCGTGATGAGCTTTGCCAGAGCCTTGAACAGCTCCCGGGTGGCTATTTTACGCTTGTAGTAGGGATTGAGCCACTGCACCACAGACTTGCTAACATCGTTCTTCTGCTGATTGACTTGAGGTTTCTTCTTCAGCTGAGAGCTGGACTTGACCTTTTGTGCCTCATCTCTTGGCTTCTCCTGTGGCACTGGCGACTTATTTGCCCTCGACTTCGCTAAATGTGGCTCTTCCTTGATGTTTGGTTGCTTCTTTCTCAACTCGCTCGCCTCATCTAACTGTGGATCTTCCTTAACGTTCACTTTCTTCTGCTTTTGCTCTAGCATTTGTCTCGCAGTCTGAAAGCCGCCGTTTGGTGTTAAGGATTCATTTTTCATTTCTGGTTGCTTCTTTTCTAGCCGCTGCTCCGACTTTTTATCTGCTAGCATCTGGCGAGCAGTTATGAATTTTACTGAATCTGTGCTCGCATATGTTTCCGTCTCCTTCTTGATTTCGTTCCTTTCGTCTTCACTTTCCGACTTGCCAAAAATCAGTTTGAAGTTGTCTTTGGGCTTTACTTCCTTCTTTTTTGTTTCTGCCTCTAGACGCGAGACACGCGCTTTGCGATGCGTATCGTAGCTACCATCGCCATTTGCCATTAGTCTGTATTTTCTGTCTCCGAACTCAAGTTCCAACTGCTCCTCACTCGTAGGACTCTCATCCTCAGTCTGATCGTGTTCCTGCTTTACTTTCGCCTCAAGAACTGGCGATTCTATCTCTGATTTAATTTCAGTATCTTCCACTTCCTTCGTGGTTTCTGTCTCATTATCGTTCTCTTCTACATCCTTTATTGGTTCACCTTCTTCAGATTTCTCTTCTGGCTCTGACTTAACAGTGACAGGATGCTCTTCTGGACTCTCTGTTCTTTCTTCTTCCTTCACCTCCTGCTTGACTTTGGTAAAGAAACTGGCAATTGATGTCTGCTTGCTTTGATCCTCTTTGAAGCCTTTGCGTTCGCGCAACGCCTTTGGTGGCTCCTTCATAGACTGTGGCTTCTGCTCCTCCAGCTCCTTAAGCTTCCTTTCGAAATAGGCCACACTTCCACCTGTCCAGACACCCTTGGCGCTTGTCTCCGGTCGCGGCACATAGTCCCGAATGAGCGGCATCAGCGTCGTCTTGGCAGTTAGTTGTTTAATGCTTGCCAGCTGAAAAAATGGAAAAGGTTATAGAGCGAAGCTTAACTTTCTTTGGCTAGACTTCTCACCTGTTTGGCTAGGGCATGCCGATACATGTTAACCACGCGCTGCTGCCGAAATACCTCGTATTCCAGTTCCACTGCCATGGCCTCGTAGTCATTGTGCCTCAGCGCGCTTCTTGGCTGCTGATCCGATTCCTTTTCGCACTTCTTGACATTCGCCTTCAGCGCTTCGATGATGGCGTCCAGGTATTTTTCTCGGCTCGTATGTTGCAGTCCACTGATCTTGGTCTCCGTCGATTGTGCCTGCTTCACGCGTGCTATTTGCGTGCTTGTCTCTTGCTCCAGCTGGCGGGCTGCACCCAACTGCTTGCGCAGCTTGAACTGTTCGCGAATAAAATTTTCGGTTTCCTTTTTGGCCCGCTTCGCCTGAGCTGCGTGACTGTGCTCCGACTCCTGGTCCGAATCATTGCTGGCATAATCTTGGGCTGCTCTTTTGGTGCCTGCACGACCACCTAATAGGCAAAGGTTTTTGAAATGACTTCAAATTAAATCCAGTCTAGTTTGAGACTTACCCTCGTACAGATCGGCGCAATCCTGCAGTGAAATGTCCGACTTGAAGGTGGCGTCCATGCAGAGTTTTTGAAACGTCTCGAGCGCCTTTGTTGCCTGCTTGGGTCGTTTGCACACATCACACTGAGCACTGCAGTCGGGCGCAGGATCACCAAAATAGTCGGCAAAGAGTTTGTGCCGGCAGCGCGTCTGCTCGCAGAAGTCCACGATTCGCTCGAATTGCCGCAGAGCGCGCTCCGTGAGCATCTCACGATCCCCACGACCGCGAGCGCGCTGCGCATCGTTCTGCAGGAGGAAGCGTATGGAGCGCACGTCTTCGCGGCCATAGTATAGACGACAATAGGACTGAAGACCGTCGCGTCCTGCGCGACCCGATTCCTGATAGTAGGCGGCCACATTTTGCGGCACATCCCAGTGGATGACGAAGCGCACGCTGGGCTTGTCAACGCCCATGCCAAAGCTATTGGTTGCGCAGATGATGGGCTGATCCCCACGCATCCAAGCCTCCTGCACCTCTGTGCGCTCCGCTGTCTTCAGTCCGGCATGATAGGCCACTGCACCGACTCCTTGCTTCGAAACACCCACGGCGACGCGCTCCACCTGGTCTCGAGTGCGACAGTAGATGATGCCGCAACCGCGCTTTGCTTTGGGCGTAGCCTTGAACTCAGATTCATCGCCCAAACAATGCTGCGCAAATGTGGCCAAATGATGAAAGTCATCCTCAATTGAGTTCTTGTACACAATATCATAGTAGAGATTCGATCGGAAGCTGGGAGTACTGAATTGTGCCACGGGCTGACGCAGGCGCAGCTGCTTGTAAATATCCTCGCGCACCTCCTTCGAGGCCGTCGCTGTCAGAGCCAGCCAAACAACGTCAGGATACTTGGCACGGAGGTCGCCCAGCTTTAGGTAGTCGGGTCGAAAGTCGTGACCCCACTGGGAGACGCAGTGCGCCTCGTCCACTGCGAAATAAGCGAGCTTCTTGTGCTTGTGCAGAGAATGGAGTAGATCCTGGAAGAATTTCGTGGCCGCTTGCTCAGGCGTTATATACAGAAATTTGATATTCGTCTTGATGGCACGCAGATCCATGATGACGCGTTCGCGCTCTTTGGTGCTCATCTTGGAGTTGAGCGAGTCTGCCTGCACCTTGAGTTTGGCCAAGTGATCGATCTGATCTTTGATCAACGCCAGCAGAGGTGAAAAAACGATTGTCAGCTGATTCTCGCACATCAAGCCGGGCAGCTGGAAGCACAGTGACTTGCCCGAGCCCGTGGGCATCGACACATAAACATCCTGTTTCTCTGCAAGACCAGATGTACATTTAACTCGGCAGGGTTCGAATTCTCTTCAGCTTACTTTTGACAGCGCATGTGATGGCTCGTTGCTGCAGCTCTGACTTGAAGCCTTTGTGCCCAAAGAACTTCTCCAGTGCCTCGTTTATTGCGCTTTTATCCGTCATAATAATACTGCCACTCGTCTTTGGTTGGGAAAACTTAACGACAGCTCCACATTATAAATAAACTCAGTCGCCAAAGTGTTGCGTATTTTCCAAACGTGAATGCCGCCAAAACAGCTGTGTTAGCGATGAGAGAAACGATGCTAAATATCGTAACAGACGATATGCTAATAGTTACATCGTATTACTGTAACAGAATCGTGATAGCCCAAAGAAGTTTAGTTATAAAACGTATAGTCAAGTATGTTGCAAATTATATTTAATATTTTTTATATAACTATCTAATATATTCAATTATTGCATGAATAACAAAAATAAAATAATTCGATAGTTGACAGTCTTGTTGAGCAATTCAAATTAACCGCCAACAACAGCTGACAGGGCTGTCTCAAGAAAAGCTATTTACTATGTTTTTAAAACCAGGACTTATAAAAATTGTGAAAGAGTTCTGGCATATTTTTATTATTAAAGCTAAAGCTAAAGCTATTTCTGTTAAGTTAGTTAGTTATACTTGTGTTATTATTAAATTAGCGATTGTGAATTTTGTAATTAAGTATTTTGCAGGTGACTCGTAAGTTGTGTTTGAACGTAGCATTAGATGTTATTTAATTTTATAAACGATTGACTTTTTATAAAAATTCATTTCATTTAGATTTTAGTCATTTAAAAAAAATTATAGTTTCAAATTAATTATTTTAGTTTGTGACGTCAATCTGGACAACATTTGTTTCAACTTGTGGCATTGAATTCGTAAAAGTGGAAGACTCTGTTAAAAGTGGTGTTCACATTAACATTTCGTGGAAATAACAGTTTGGTAACGTTAACGTTAACATTATGTTAGCGTTGCGGCTCTCTTTAAGTTTCAGTTAAATTTCCGCGCTCGATCCGCACGAACGTGTTTTGTAAGTGTTGCATTTCGCATCGGCTTCGTTGTGTGCGTGCTGTGCGTCCGCGTATGCGAGTGAGAGTGTGTGCGTGTGTTTTGTGCGTGTTATATTAATTGTTGTTGATACATTCATACACTTTGTTAACGAAACCAAAGAGCACATTACCTGCTGCACCTGCACATCATAAAATGCACAGTAAGAAACAGCAGCAGCAGCAACAGCCTCAGCAACAACAACAACCGCAGGCAACTGCAATGCCGGCATAAACAACGTAATGCATTACGTTGTCCGTGTGCCGTTTATCTTTGTAAATTAGTGCGTGTGCCGCTCTCACTCTCTCTCCCTCTTCCCCTGTCCGTCTCTCACTGTCGCTCACGTTGTGGCCAAATTTATTTACGGTACCACGCAAAGCAAAGTGCAATAAAATCAACAACACCAACAGCAAAAGCCGGCTCCGTCATAAAGTCCATCGATTGTGCGTCGTGTGATAAACGTGTGCGTGTGATTGATTGTGACAAAGCCTTAGCAACACACAAACAACAAAGCAAGAGCAACTGCAACACCAACAGCAACAAAATGTTTTCAGCGAAGCGTTGTCAACGACAACAGCTGGCAAATCTGCAAGATCTGCACTGCAGTTCCAGTAGAACAGCAAGAAATGCCGCCTACCTTGTGATATTCCATAGTCTGCTCCTGTTGCTAGTAACAGCAGCAGAGGGCCAGCTCCAAGAGGGCAGCTCCTTAGGAGGCGCCCAAATAGCCGCATTGGCGGCGCCTGGGCCCATTCCTGGTCCGGGTGGTTCCTCCTCCGCCGGTGCGGGCGGTGGCTCCTCGATCATCGATCAGTTCAGCCCCAACTGCACCGCCGTTTCGCACATTTTCCAGGGGCGAGGCATCGATGCCAATGAAATACCACAAAAACCCAGCAATGGTAAGTGCCCTAATATAATAAATAGACAAATATATTTTAGGAAAACGTTTCTATTCAGTTAAAATGGTTGAAAAATGAGTAACAAAAACGCATAGTCTATCAGAAATTGTTTAAATCAAGCGAAACTGTTGCTTAAATTTTATCAGAGAAATACAGCCACTGAAAATTTTAACTCCTTGATTAGATAAATTATAAATCCTAAACCTACATGAATGTCAAAAACGGTAAAATGATTTTAGTCAAGTGTATCTGTTTATGTGATACTCTTTTATTAATTTAATCAAATTAATATAGTTTTTTATTTATTTTAGATTGAACATATTTAAGAAATTAATATATTCAAAAATTGAAAAAAAAAAAATGATTTTTTATTGATAAAAATAAATTGATTTATTTTTACTTACAATGTAAAAATACCAAATAAGAGTATAGATTGATTACTGAATGATTAAGTTTGGTGAGAGAATATATAAAAAGTTGTGGTGGGAGACAGTATAAACGCCTGAAAAACTTAACTCAAATTGCAAATATCGACAGTTAACTAAAACTCAGTGGCCTCAGTTTTGTTCTTGTTGTTGTCGATGTTAGAGAATCGAGTCGAGTCGAGTCGAGTTGAGGCAAGGTCTTAGCTTTATCTAAACGCTGGCGCTTATCAGCAGAATGCAGAAGAAGAGAATCAATAAAATTTATGACTCACGCAACAAAAGAGGCTGCAACACCAGCCTCTGGCTAAGTTATCTAACCAAGAACAGCGAGAGAGAGGAAGAGAGGGGGTAAATAAAGAAAGGTTCACAAATGCCGACAGACTGAGAAAAAAATCCTGGAGTGGACCGAACTGGATTGAAGTGCATAATTTAAACGATTTCAATGACACCTTGATTAATATCAATGCAGCGATCGCAGGGCTTGTCTTTACCTGTTCGCTAACTCTCTCGCCCTGTCTCTCCTCTACGCTCTCTCTCTCTCTCTCTCTTTCTGGCTCTCTTTGTTCAATTCCTTGAAATTATGAACGAAACGCAACGCAACGCAACGTGTTGCATTTGACCAAAAGATAACGAAACATTGAGAACGGCGATGAGGAAAGAAACAAAACACACAAACAAAAGTAAAAAAAGTAAAAATACAAAAAAAAAAAAAAAAAAAAAAAAAAAAACCAATCAAGCAACGTTGAAAACCAAAAATAAACAACGCAACACGGCGACAGGTAAAGAGCAGCGTGGAACGGGCAAAAGGGTGGGCAAGCAAAAGGCAGAGGCTGCAACAGTTTACCTGAAAACAAATCAAATAAACGTAAAAACCAAAACGAAGACAGTGAGAACGAAGACAGAAAGGGCGAGAGAATGTGAGGGAGATGGAGATAGAGCGCGCGTTGGGCTGGTCAAGTTATTGCAATTAAGCGTGATTAATTCAGGCTTTATACAAATTAACTAAAATCTACAGAAGAAGCTCGCGTCCATAGCTTGGCCTAGGCCCAACCGACAACAAAAACAACAACAACAGCAACAACAACAGTGAACGGAACGAGAACAACTGTTGTTGGTCAGTATGTAAAAGCGGCGTGACAACATTTTTCAGTCGCTCTGCTCCGAAACAGATTTCTTTGATTTTTTGTTGTTTTTTTCTGTTTGCTTCTTTTTGTTGTTGCGCCAAAGGAATTTCTTGGGAGACTTTTCGTAGCGGCTGCCGCTGGTGCGGACTGGTCTTGAAACTGGTACCCTTTTTTCTTCACTGAGGACTGTGAGAGAGCGAGAGGCAGACAGGGGGAGGGGGAGCAGTGCGCAATGAGCAGTCGACGCATGCGCCAAACTCGCCGCTGACTGGACAGTGGAAGCATCCAAGCGACGACGGTCTCGCTCTGTCCGTCGTCCGTCGTCCGTGCCTTCCGTTCCCTTCCCTTCCATTCCTTAGCCGTTTCCCATCGACTGTTTGTAGACTTATTTAGAGTTTGGATATTTTTTTTATCGCTCTGTTCGTTTTCAAGTTAATTTGCGTGGAATTTTATTTCCTTCTCTGTGTGTGTGTTGGTCTCTCTTTAGCTCTGCTGCTCTGCGTCGGCGGAGGCCAGCCATTGCAAGCAGGCATGAATCATGTGGCGATTGGCCAGAGCAAGACATAGGGCAGACGGGAAGGTGTCTGCTATTGAGATTGTTGCCAAGTTATTAAATTACACCTTTGGCAATAGAGCGCGTTGCATAGCTCGAATAACTGAGGAAGCAGCAAAAGCAAGGGAAGCGATAAGCTGAAACTTAGTCGGAGTCTCGGGCTAATTTAAGGCAACACTTCACAATTCCATTCCCATTCCCGGGTCACATGTCGCGCATTCCCTTTAATCTGCCAGCATCAGTGACCATTAAACATTGAACATTGAACATTCAACAGCTGCACAACACCTCACTCTCTCTCTCTCACTGTCTCTCTTTTTCTCTCATGCCAACAACAACAACAGCAACAGCCAAATGTACAACAACTGCCACTTAAACGCTTCATTAAAGTTGCACTTCCTGTGCGCCGTGCAATGGCCATTGGAACGTTGCCCCAAAAGACAACATCAAAAACAAAAAACAAAAAGAACAACAACAAAAAAGCTTTTGTGCAACCGCCTGCAATCTGGCTGCTGCTGCTGCTGCTGCCTTCTCACCTGCCGCAGCGCTTCGTGGCACTTAGTTCAAATTGTTTGCACAATTTAAGCAGTTCACAAAACATTAAATCGTTAAAAGTAATTTCAAAGACAGAAAGGGAGAGAGAGAGTGGGAGAGAGAGAGACGTTGTAGACAACGGCAGCCAACTAAATATCTTTACTCACATACGTTCAACATTCTCACAGTCGGAGATACAAAATCAAACATGGGCTGAGTGCAACATCTTCCCTTGCCCTTGCCACTGCCGCCGCCTCTGGACATTGCTGCTCTGTCGTCGCCGCTGCAGCTACCTTTGGCCAAAGGAAATTTACAGCGCCGCTGCTCCACTTAGGCTGCAACTGCGTCCGTCCTTCTCCCCGGCGTCTTAGTCGTCGTCGTCGTCGTGGTTACCAGGGCCAAGCACACGACTATTAATCATTTTTCAGCGACCAAAACTAAATGGCCCTCTCATTCACTGCCACAAGCCCCTGTTTGTCTCCTCCTCTCCTTCTCTTTATAGCTCTGCCTTACTCTCTCTCTCTCTCTCTCTCTCTCTCTATCTCTCTTTATAGCAATGCATCTCGCTCTTTTGGGGCCCTTTTGCATTGTATTTGCGGCTGCTAACCGCATTCCACAGTTGTGTACCACAGCGAACTGGCCATACAGCCAGCCAGCCTATGAAGCACTATATCATCATTATGCGAAATAATTCCTAAAGATGTTGCATTGTTGACCATTGTAAGACTCGGTGTTATATTTCAGCAAACATTTTGAGTAGGAGCAATGCAATGTGTCGGTTGTTTGATACAAATAAATATTATGGAAAGATATTTCACAAGAATGTGAATTCATTATTTCATTAGAAAAAGCAATACATAGATGGTTTAAAGAAAGGTTTTATAGAAATAATTCAGCTTGGATTTTAGCAAAGATAAGATGTATAATAATAATATATAAAGTTTATAAGTATATAAATAATGAAGTAAAAGTCTTCTGTAAATAATTCAGTTTGGATTTTAGCAAAGATTAGATGTATAATAATAATTAACTAAAGTATTGTGAAGTATATAAATAATCAGCTATCTGAAGTATTTTATTATTTATGTATTATATTATAGTATGTATATTAAATTATATGTATATATAGTATAGGTGTACAAAAAGGTATTTTCATTTTGATTGGATTTTATCAAGGATTGGCTAGCTGTTTAATTAAAATGTATTACAGTATAATAAAATTGCTTTCTAAGCTGATTATTGAGTTGCGTTCTCAACTAGTTCTTAACTTAAGTGTAGGTATTAAGATTAAGATTTATTAATTGTGGTCATAAATCGATCTTTGAATACAGTAACGGTATACAAGAACATTTTTATTAATTAACAATTTGGCTTAGTATTCTTTTGTACATATATTATTTATAGCTTTTAAGTGTGTTTATATTGAAAGATTATATGGAAAGATTATTTTAATTGAATTTCTTGCACAGCGAAGTCGCACTAAGAATAGTAGCATAGTGTCATTTGCTTAATTAACGTTCAATTCGTATGAATTGTTTTTGTTGAATAAAAAAAAATAATTTCTTGCAGATAAGAAAAAGTATTTCTTTGTTGTACAGTTTTACATCAGAATATCAGAGTGCTCTTCAGAGTTATTCTTAACAGATTTCATATAAGTTATATATTTTAAAGTTTAATTTTAATATAGTATATATGTAAAATATTGTAAAACTGCTTATTTGATATTATTTAAATAATAAATGCTTTATTATTTGACTAATATTATAAAAACATATGTTTAATTGGCTTTATTATATTATATAATTTTATTAATTCAGATTTGTATTATATGTTGTTAGTTTATATATTATTATTTAAAAGTCCTAGCAGTTAAAGGTCGTTACTGCTCTGCAATTCAAATACAATATCATTCCAAAATGTAATAACTACTGATCCTATGAGGCCCTATCGAGAAGGCGTGCTCGACCTGGCAATTATGTAAATGCAAAGCCCTTATTTAGTAGTTCGTATGCATTATTATCTGTAGTCGGCATATAACTTTGTTGCTGTTTGTAGTTAGTTGGTTGTTGTTGTTGCTGTTGTCGCTTGTTTGTTTGCACGACTTAATGCTTCATTTGGCAAAGGAGAGGCTAAAGAGCCACTGAGGTTCTGGGTACTGAGTGGCTTAACTGCTCTCAAGTACAGCTAACAAGGGCCGCATGGAGCTGATAATGATGGGAGTGGGGCGTGTAGGTAGAGGTCTATGGAGTCTAGTCTTGGTCAAGTTAACTACTTAATTATCTGTGAGCTTCTACTCGCTGCTCAAATGGAGCGCTTCGACTTGAGTTTGCCTATGGGGCGCCCCTTTCCATTTACTGATTATTA